AATACACTGCCCTCTACAGTTTAATGTAGTACCACTTGTCAATAGCAGACTGGTCGGCGATCGGTTGAGCAGCCACCGTGCTGCTTAGCGGTTTTCCTTCCAAGATGGGCTTGACATCTTCAGCCTTGATTGAGTTGGCATTACCAGCGGACAAGTTTTTCACGTCCAGGCCACTGTCATTGGGCGATTTAGCGTGAAGAGCCTTCCAGAAGTTGGCCGTTTCTTCAACGACCTTTTCGGCAAACTCTCGGTTCTTTGCCTCGCCATTGAAGGCAAACTCATTTGCCGGCTTGCCATCGGGAATTTTGTAGATCTTGAACCACTCGACGGTGGCTCGCAAAAAGCCTGGCATAAACTTTTCAACGTCCTCAATGTCATTCAGCTGCTCAGCCAGCGGGTCAGCCACGTTGATGGTGATCACCTTCCAGTCGGTTTCACCCTCGTCAATCAGCGCAATGGTGCCAAGTATTTTCACCTGAAGAACATCGCCACGAGCGGCGACTCGCTGGCCAATCTCCAGCACATCGATTGGATCATTATCACCCTTAGCATTGGTAGCTGGATCAATGTGCGAAGGGTCTTCCCAAGTTTGTGGAAACGCTCCGTAGTTCCAAATGTAGCCCTTGTGAGGAAATGGATTGCGTACGTAGCGAAGGGCGCCCTTCTTCACGTCCTGTTTGATTGGGTTTAATGGCTCGGCAGTGGCGATTTCCATTTTAGCATTTGTCCAGCGGGGAATCTCTACAACCATGTTGTAGATCTTCTTCGCTTGATCGGCAAATAGGGGAATATCGTGCCATGGAGAGATAGCGTTACCAGAAGCGTCCTCTGTGAGGGCAAACACATAGTTAGAAACAATAAGCAAATAGTTTACAAGCGCTAATGTTCAGAGATCACGCAAAGAAATTAAATGTCAAACTCACTGAAATAGACTCGGTAGTCAAGCGAATTGCGAGCTCCACGCTCTTCAATGGTGTATGCAGTGTTGGCCATTGCTTTAGGGGTAGATGAGATGGTGGTGGAGGTGGTGATAGAAAGGTTTCTATGAGAACAGCAGACAATTGAGGTTAGTGAGGTACTGAGGAGCTTCGACGAAGTGAATGGGTCGTGGTGAAAGTGTAATAAATGAGCTCGATAGGAGGCACATTGCGATATGAACCGAGACTTCGGTAGATTGTGAACAAGACTACTTGCAAGAGGGTGATTGCTGGCTGTGAAGCATGTTTTGGTTGTCACTAGGACGCAAGTAAATGCCGGTGACTTTCTAAACAACTGGTGGACATGTTTAAGAACAATCATGACTGCAACACTACAACAACAGTGTGATGTAAATGTACGGAATTTGNGGAGGTTAGTGAGGTACTGAGGAGCTTCGACGAAGTGAATGGGTCGTGGTGAAAGTGTAATAAATTAGCTCGATAGGAGGCACATTGCGATATGAACCGAGACTTCGGTAGATTGTGAACAAGACTACTTGCAAGAAGGTGATTGCTGGCGGTGAGGCATGTTTTGGTTGTCACTAGGACGCAAGTAAATGCCGGTGACTTTCTAAACAGCTGGTGGACATGTCTAAGAACAGTCATGACTGCAACACTACAACAACAGTGTGATGTAAATGTACGGAATTTGTTTGATTAGTTCAATATACAATTTACAAATTCTGAGTAGCCTAGAAAGCTAAGCGGACATCGATGCGCGGGTTTAGGTGTACGAGTGTGACAGAGTACAGTGCAGTGGAGCTTAGAGACAAATCAATCACAAAACTGCTTGTGTCCTCCTCGCCTAGAGGGACGAGATAGTGGGGAGAGAGNGTTTGATTAGTTCAATATACAATTTACAAATTCTGAGTAGCCTAGAAAGCTAAGCGGACATCGATGCGCGGGTTTAGGTGTACGAGTGTGACAGAGTACAGTGCAGTGGAGCTTAGAGACAAATCAATCACAAAACTGCTTGTGTCCTCCTCGCCTAGAGGGACGAGATAGTGGGGAGAGAGAGATAGATTAGAAACCGTGAATCAAACTTTGACATGTGTTGTATGTATGAAAGCTATTTTTAGGCGGTATCACTTTCAAGTAACATTGTGAACTTGGGTTCAAATTTTTACTCAAAGCACTTGAGTGTACTAAAAAGCAGAGCACCTAAAGCATCGATACCCGAAGAAAGGCTTTCTATGGCAAAAACTAAGTTAGTAATAAGGAAACTACTGAACTAAGCGTAATCAAGGTCGATTCATTCAAATGCAGCAGGGTACAAATGTAGCCCGGTGGCAGTGAAAAAGTAAAGTAAACATGACAAGGGGAACTGCGCTTACAAGAGTAATTATCAAGGTGACAAGAAGTGTTCCGGTCAAAGCCAGAGAAGATGGTGATGAGGATGAGATTGAGAATTTGACGTGCTGTCTGGCGACGAGGATTATACTGATCTGGAGACGGACTTCTGTTGCCGTTTTGGTTGCGGTGGAGATTGTTGATGTCATCAGCGTGTGACGTTGAGAAAGCGCATCACCCAAGGAAGGCGGTCCGATTAAGCGCGCACAACAGTTATCCACGCGCAGCCCACAAATGGACATGCACTGTGTAGTGCACGTGGTGGCAGCAAAGTCGCCGGCTGCTGATTGTTATCGCCGGCGACAGAGGACGACACGCGTTAAGCTAGATTATACAACTAAATCGTCAAATAACGGTAGTTAAGGTGCAAATCATTTACAGGTAAATCAATTAATACCACACATGCCCTATCTTGATCGTCTGCAAACTGGGTTATTGCCCGGTCATTTCCGATGCGAAACAACCACTAAACTGAGCTGTGGTTACAGTATGCTCAGGAAATGGCTTCATAAATTGACACAGTCTGTTACCTGGTGACGAAAGTGTAGAGTGCTAAAAGCAGTGCCGGTGTCCAGCAACACAGNCAGTCTGTTACCTGGTGACGAAAGTGTAGAGTGCTAAAAGCAGTGCAGGTGTCCAGCAACACAGGGCAATTAAAGATGAGAGGCTGGTTTTCTTTAGATGTTGCCGCTGAGGTGTTGCAGCTAGGCGCAGATTACCACCTGTCCAGAAAGAAGGAGAATGTCTTTGCAACAACACAGAAAAACTGGCACTTTGATGTTTGTCGCAGTGGAGAGAACAAAGGAGAGGCACTCTCGACTTTCCATCAGCACCACTTGGACAAGCAGAATTGACAGAGCAGAAGAGCAACAGCAAAAGAAGAAGATGCCCGTTCAGAAGCGCAACTTTGAATTTGAGTACGAAGTGGAGCCGGCAGATGCACGCTCTGCCGAGTACCTCTTTGTGAAGTACTTCAACGTGCTGATGTGTTTCGTCTACCTCGCCTCTTCGATTTGGATCTACTTCTTCATTTTTGCTCAGGCTGACTGGGAGCGGAATGCCAACATGGAGGACATTCGCACCTACGTGGGCGTCACCACCTGGACCTGGTGGACGGTGGCCGTGGTGACCCTAGCCGACATTCTCGTGGTGCCCTTCCTCGTGTACGCCGTATGGAACGACAAGAAGCCCGGCTTCCTGCTTCTGCTGGCCACACTGGCCTACGTCTACTCACTGTACGGCATCGTCAGTGTGTACCTTCGTGGCAGCATCGTCTGCTTTGTCTTTCCCTTTGTCATTGCCACCCTCTCGGTGATTCAGTTCCTCATGGCCAGACACGAGAATGAGGAATTTGAAATCACCAAAGGTCTTCGCCTGCGAGAGCGTGAACCGACAATGGAGCAGTTTTTGCGAGATTGAGTCCAACAGTATTTCTTCAATTCTAATTGCTGGTCATTAGTTGAATGTAACAGATAAGTGTGAACCATTTGTCAATTGCGCCCAATTTACCTCTCATTTGCTCACAGCAACATAATCTGGTTGGAACTAAAAGGCAAGTGCACAAAATGTCAAAAAATTGTCAGATAGGAGTTTTAAAAACTGTTTAAAATTACTTTAAGTTAAAATTATGCGTCTCAGACTACTGACCTCCTAAATAGTGGCGCTATTTCTACAGCAAATGATATAGGCGTATTCAGAATATTTCCTCATATTTTACATAGGAGGTCAGTAGTCTGAGATGCATATTAAAATGAATCAATAAAAATATAAAAAATAATCGTGTTTGAGAATCCATTAATAATTTAAAAACGTTAAAAAGAGTGCCGCAACTTTGCTACTCGAATACCGTACAAGCCGCCTACTCGCTGTTTGGCTGGTTGATTACCGTCTTGATGAACTCCACGACAGAGCAGAACTGTGTCCAGTAGTAGGCTTCCTCTCCAAAGAGCTCCTTCGAATAGAAGCTATTGACGTACTGAATGGTGGAGAGAATCGATGTGGGATTGGCTTTGATCACCACAAAGATGAGCACCGGTAAGAGGTCGTCAGCCGAAGGAATGGTACTGTCAGAAGTGCTTAGCAGGGTGATGATGTGAGAACAGCAGCGATGAATGCACTGCACTTTGTCGTGGGCCGTCTTGTACGCCGACAAGGACCACAGCTCAGCCTGGGCAGACAACCAGGGGGCAGTGGTGAAATACTTGCTGGGAATTTTAATCAGCCGAGACGAGGGGGTGATTTTGGTGGACAGTTGACTGATCTCCTGGTGCAGCAGCTGGTCACGCATCTTATCGATGTCGCCATTGGAGTAGAAGACTGAAAGGTAGATGCGTCCAATGAGGTGTCGCTCGATGATTTGCTTGGCCAGGGCGTGCTGCTCTTCAGTCAAGCAGCGACACTCGGCACTCTGCGCCATTTCCTGCACCAGTCGCTCCACCAGTGACACCTTTTCATCGGGCAGCATTGATGCGTCGCCCACCTTGGCCATCAGCTGCTGAATGGTGACGTCTTTTCGCTCCATCAGCTGACGAACTAGAAAGGACACTACTATAAAGTTGGTAATGTACTGCTCGCGTCGAAGTGTCATCTGTGTTGACTTGAGACACTGTAACCGAAAGAGTAAAAACTGTCGAGACTTGAGCAGATAAAAGCTAAACAAGTTGCGAATTTTCCCATCGGCTTCAATTTCGCGAAAAATGTTGAAAAAATCTGCATCGCTTAGATTTTCCATGACGCGAATCATGTCAATGATGAGCACCATATTAGAGACTTCATCCATGTTCTGTGCTTGGGAGAGGAGAATCTAATGGCAAAAAAAGTTATTATCTTGAAATTATAAATATAAACATTAACACTTACTCTTAAAAACATGATAAAGTTACGCTTATTAGCAAGGTTTAAAAAACGATAGCTTTGGTATGTGTGTGACAAGTTGATTAAGCACATTAATTTGCGCAGTTTGTTCTTCACGTGGCAAAAGTGATCCACTGGCAACGATGATTCATTGTCCACCTGATCACCAACCTCAATCAGCGATTCATGTCCGGGCTCAGGCGTATTCAGACTTAGCAACTCTTCACTTGCACTTTTGTTGTTGTTTTTGTACTTTGCGAGAATTTCCGAAGTCTTTGCCTTAACATTGGCAATGTCAAATTTGCTTTCTTTTAGCACACTGCTGAGAATGTTAGCCGAAGAGTTTCCGGTCTCCTCACTATCCAGAACTGAGCTGCGAAGTTTGTTGTCCTTTATGGATATATTCTTCACTTTATCTTTGATGTTTTTAAAGTTCGATATACTAAAGAAGCCTTTCTTGTGAGTACTGCCCCTTCTCTGGGAGCTAGCAGTAGTGGAAGTTTCAT